ACTTACACCTACCTTTTTTAATACATCCTGTGTTAATTCCTCCTTTTTCACTCACCACTAGTTCCTCATTCCCTCAGCCCCCAAAAGAGCACATCTTAAACCAATCTCCCATTTTTCTCAACGACAAACCAAAGCATATGCTAAATTAGTTCTCGCTTTTTTCACCCCCCCCCCCCCATAGACCACATCTTAAATGAATCTCCCCTTTTTCCCCTCAAACACCGATCGAAACAAATCCCTTTTCTCCACCACCACAGAGAACAACGTATACTAATCTCTCTCCTATTTTCAACCACCACTAAGCCTCGCCTCTTTCTTGAAATCCCCATAGATCGCATCCTAAATACATCCCTCTTTTATCTTTTATTTCAAACCCTATACTAATCACTTCCCCATTCCCCCCCCCTCCCCCTAAAACACATGCTATATCAACCCCTCCTCCATTTTTCTCACCCCCCACAAAACACATGCTATACTAACCCCTCCTAACTTTCCTCGCCCCCCATAAAACACATGCTATATCAACCCCTCCTCCATTTTTCTCACCCCCCATAAAACACATGCTATATCAACCCCTCCCCCATTTTTCTCACCCCCCATAAAACATGCTATACTAACCTCTCCTCCGTTTCCTCTCCCACCCCCCCTTAACCCCAGCACAACTTAGCGAGCTCCACAAGACCAGCCTGGCGCGCATCCTGTGTGACAACGTACCTGAATTAGGGTCCATTCAACGCTGGCCACTCAGGAACTACGCCACAGGGAACCCACGCCTGCCATGTTCCTCGCAGTCGATACCCAGGGTGGACCTCGGGGCATGGGAAGAGGGCGACCTGTACAAGATTGAGTTGTTCAAGATGGACTACACGCCAAGAGGATCGGCTGGACGGAGATAGGAACTGGATTTTGTTCATTTGTTTCGTTTGTTTTTTTTTGAGAGGGGAAAGGCATTTGATTCTATACATTTATTTTACTTCTCTTATTTTTTAGAGGATAGGGATTCAATTCTGTTCATTTAGTTTATTTTTTATTATTATTATTTTTTTTGAGAATTCGATTCTATTGATTTAATTCACGTTTTTAGTGTCTTACTATTTCTATTTTTATTTTTAGATTGTGTGTAAATACGTCTTCTTCATAGATGCTGTGAATCTCAATCTAATGTATGCATTGTAATGGTGGTGAATGTTCGAAATCCATTTTTTTTATTATTATTGTTGTAATTTAGTTTTTTAATTGTTCATTCTGTTCATCAACTGTTCAGTAGAAGCATAGGGAACCTTCAGTTCCTTTGTCTTTTCATGTACGTTTGTAGATAGGCTTTGAATGGTCCTTAATGTTGCCTAGTTTTTTTGTACTGCAAAAAAAAAGAAAAAAAAATGTAAAAAAAGGGATCTTATACAATCTTAACAGTCTCATACCAAAGATATGATTTTTTTTAAATACATGTTTTCTTTTTTTTCTCTCTCTCTCTTTAGATTTATTAAAATAAGATCATGTTATTTCCTAGCGATATCACTTTATATGAAGAAAGACATTTGAGCTTCAACTGAATTTTGGTAAGAGTATGTGTATGTCTATGCGTATGTCTATATGTATGTATATACGTATGTATATGCATATGCGATATGTGTGTGTGTGTGTAGGCATATACGTATATGTATGCATGTATGTATATATGTAGACTGTGTGTGTATGTGTATGTGTGTATGTGTGTGTGTGTGTGTGCGTGCGTGTGTGTGTGTGTGTGTGTGTGTGTGTGTGTGTGTGTGTGTGTGTGTGTGTGTGTGTGTGTGTGTGTGTGTGTGTGTGTGTGTGCATATACGTATATGTATGCATGTATGTATATATGTATACTATGTGTGTGTGTGTTTCTCTGTCTATACACCCTTCTTTACACATACATATTATGGTTCTATTAATGTAAACTGATGCTCATGAAAAAAAAAAAATAATGTACTGTCCTCGCGTATCATTTACCTTCCTCTGCAATGCAACCGAGTAGATTCAAAAGGTATATGAGAGACAAATAAAATGACTAATTTCCTTTATTTACAAAGACGATAAAGAAAGTACACAGCAGACGCACTACACCAATAAGATTGTCTAAACTACCTGTCTAGAACTGTCAAGAACACACACAAATTATGAAACCTCATGAAAGGCTTTGATTCAAGAGCAATTATATATATACACATCTAAAATATATATCTATATATATATCTAAAATTCATCAACAATGACACACAATACAACGATTTACGCATTATACGGACAAATATGAATGTAATCATTTTTTTAACACCATTTATTTTATTTCTTATATTTGTTTTTTCTCTTTATTCAGAACAAGGAACCGCTTGTGAACAATAGATCTAAGATTATGTCTAAATATCAAAAAGCATTTTCCACCAGAATGATACAAAAAACTGGGAATGTTATAGTTAGCGATACAACCCACTCCTCACGCGTTCCTTTACCACTGAGCACATAATATATA